CATTCTCATGTATGCAGAAATACAGACTATTCAAAGGTCTGTTTAAAATGTCAGTACAGAATAACTTTATTATAAATATAATCCTGTACTAGAAAGATGTTGCTCTGTGTTTATTGGGAAGTGGGAGCACAAAGCCCCACCACAAAGGGGAGGCTGTACAGCTGTTATGCTGTGCAGACAGAAAAGCATACACTTCAGAAGGAAACAAGAGTTTCCAGCTTCCTGGTCCTTTCTGTACAGCTGAGTGCATTTTTCACACATCCATTGAAGCTAATAAAACCCAGAATAATACTAGAAATGCAGATCAGAGCCACAAGACGGACGTGCTACTTACTTTTACTTTATACAATAAGAGGTGACTACAGTGAGTTTCCAAAAATTAGTGAGTAAATCAGAATATTGTTCTTTCTACATTTTATTTGTCCTATAGCAAGAAACTGGATTTGTGAAACTGTTTATCCTAGACTCTGCTAGACCAAGGTGAACATGCAAATAGTAGAGACATATTGAGCTATCTCAAGGTTTTGACTTTTTTTTTTTTTAAATCTTCCACCAAAGGAACCTTAGTTACCTTCTTCTTCTGTTTGTCTCTATCAAATATTTTTGTGCCTTACTCCGATGTAATTTCTGATCCTCTTTCAATGTCCGACGTTCTTCTTCTAAATCCTGTTCAAAATGAAATTTTAAAGCTCTATCCCTAGTATTGTGTTAAGGACAACAGAAAATGGATTGAACAGCCTGTTTGATTGACTTTAAATTTTTGATTGATTTTTATATTTCCCCTTTTTGGGAAAGGGCAAACTTTATCAATGAGATACAAAATGCTGATATGCCTTTTTTGACTAAGGATACAATAGCTGGTCCCATAATTGTATGTTATAATCATGACTAACTTTGTGCTTATCCAGAAAAGAATGTAATTGCATATTACTGTTTAAAGGGATTTTAAGAGGAGCTTTCCACTCATCTTTCATGATCATCACCAGCTGAAAAATCTCACCTTTATTATGTTCATTTGTAGGGACATATTTCTGTAGTTATCTAAATCTGTAACATACGGACACATGTACCACAGGGAAAATGATTCAACAGCAAAAACACCCCCTCCACACATCTAATAGTTGTTTACAACTGAAATTAGTTGTTTACACTGAAATTGATTAACATTACTGCATAAAAGCTCTCCATGGAGACAAATCATTAGTGGCAGGAGTCAAGACTGATCTAAGTAGCACTTGGGATGGAAAACACAGTTCCCAGTAGCAGAGCCTCGTAGAAGAACGAAAACAAGAAAACTCCGAACCTGCCTGAGAATTTGAATTTCCCACAGCAGCTAAAACCCCACGAAGTGTAAGTTTTAATTTAAGGCCACCCCTGAGGCGGTCCCTGACCGAGGAGCGGGGCGGGGGCTGGGCCATTGCCGCCCCTGCCCCACACGGGGTCCGCACGGGCCCCACACAGCGTAGCCGACCCCGAGAGCCCGCCCGAGGCCCCGGCCCCGCCCAGCCCCGCACGGCTCGCAGAAGGATACCCAGGGGCGCTCCGCCTCCCTCCCGCGCCTGTCCTGCGGGCGCTGGGGAGGTGCTGCCGCGCCGCCCCGCGCGCCCTTCCCGCCGAGCTCCATCCAGCGCCCCGGGACCGCGGGCAGTGCCGGCCCCGGCCCCAGCCCCAGCCCCGCTGCATCGCGGCAACCCGGGGACGCCGCTTCCTTCGCAACGGGGCGGGGCCGCGGCGGGGGAGCGGGAGGGGGGAGCCGGTTTGGCTGGCGTGCCTGGGCTTTCTCCAAGCCGGGAGCAAGGGACAGGGTGGGCCCCGGCACCGCCTCGCCTCGCAGGTCCTCGTCGGTCCCCGTGCCAGGGTGGAAGCCACGCTTGGGCACCTCGCTCTCTCCGTGCCTTCCCGTCCCATCAGGGACACCGGCGCCGGGCACCGCGCTGCTGTCCATCCCCTCTGCACCGCTGTAAACCGCGCAGTGCCACCTAAAAACCCGAAACGCAGCCGGTATCCGAACGAAAACACGTCCTCGTGAGTTCCGCTGCCGAGCTCCAGAGCTCTCTGAGGGTGCCTCTGAGACCTGTTGTTGGTGAAGACTTGGAGTTACAGCATAAACCTGTTTTTTTACCACAGTGTGAAGTCATAAGAACAACAACTAAAAAGTAAAATTGTATAAAATTTTATAGAAAATATTAAAAAATACATTAAATAAAGTTACACAAAGTAAAAAACAAAAAACAAAACAGTAATTTGCTCTTAAAAATGCAAAACTTTTTTTTTTTTGGTGAAGTAGGGTTGTCTTGGGATATTGCTCTGCCTTGGATGAGCTGTCAGCAACAGGCTAAATGCCTTGGTGATTTCCTGGCGAGACATTTCTTGGCTGTTGTGTTTCAGCTTAAACCAATTCTTCCCCTTTTTTTTTTTTTTTTTTTTCCACTGTGCAGCTGTTCTATGTCTCTGACTAGGAAGGTAAAAATAGTACTCGGCATTTGTAAAATACTTTTCTCCACAGACACCCCGTCCCCCAGCCCCTTTCCCCCCTATTTGTAGCACAGTTTGTGAAGTAGGTGTTACTATTGCCATTTTACAGTCAAGATCACTGATGGTCAGGTCGCCAAATGTGCATAATATTTATAATATCGCAGTTACCACAGTTGAGAAATGACTCTAAAATGGAAGTCTTTCACCTCTAGTTCACAATACTAGCCCCAAATTCACCACCTCTTTGCCCCATCTGCTCACTTGTGTTGCAGGTAGAAAAGTGGTTGTCATTTTACCACCATATGCTTTCCAACCCACGCAAACTTTTTAAAATCCAAGTTTGCCTGATAAAATATGCTGTTTCATTTAGGATGCTTTCATTAGCAGAAGGGTTTATCAGTATGGAGAACTGAGTCACCCAAGCAAGACTGAAGCAGAGCTGGGAAAAAACTGCAGAATTTGAGCCCATGGCACATCTAGAATATTCAAGTTCATGATCAACTCATGCTGGCAGATTTGAGCTTCTTTAGATTTATTGAAAATTTTGATCTAATACAGCACAACTTGCAGCTTCACCTTAAGATACTTTCTGAGATTTGGAAGTAAGAATAGTTTTTGTATATCTTTCTCTCTTTCCCTTCTTTACATTTTTCTTACATTCTCACAGTCCTGTTTTATGGTTATTAGATAATTCCTCCTCATGAGTAACCTCACATCTTTCAGACTGTGGGATGAGAAGGTGACTGGCTGAGGACCTGTATTTCTGAGACATATGATTATTCTAGGACAGCAACTAGCCTCATCTTAAGTAGTTACAGAATGGAAGGTCCAGCTCTGGCAGTTGGTTTGAAAGAAGTTTCATTATTTTACTCTGGGCTAGACACTGATATTCCAGTGAAGGATAAAGATCAAATCTTAAAACTTTGTGGAAGGGATTCTGAATTTATTACAGGTCTTATTCGAAGGCTGCAGCATAGCTGTGCTGCTGCAGAAACACATTTTTCTTTCCTTCTTTTTGCAGTGGGGGATTAATTTGCTTCATGCCCCATTCCTCCAAGCTGTGCATGTGACTGCATGGGAGAAGAAATTCAGTCAATATTCTCAGTATTTTAACCATCCCTTCCTGAAATCTGTCACCTTTGCCTATTTCTGTGCATAGAAAGAAGAAGAAAAACTTTTTTGTCCCTCTTAATGTCATGTATAGATAACCATGAAAATCTTTTCACCTTCCTGAGATTGAACTATGAATCAAAACTTGTGTCTTCTTGAGAGAGTATCAACTGATGCACTAGTCAAACTCTTGTAATTTTCATATTGGAAAACTATGATTTTCCATGTGGTACTTCAGAAAAAAATAAAAATGTGATTTTGAGAGGTACAGAATAATGAAAGTTGTTTAGAATTTCACAAGAAGCTGAATATGCTCCTCTCAGGTACACGTGCTTAGTACCCTTTAGCTATTAATTTTAAAGAAAAAATGGATTAAAAAACTGAATTAAATCTGTATTAAACTGAATTAAAACTGTATTAATCATCTGCTCCCAAATGCTTTCAAATCTCTTCATAGCAAAAGCTATTGTGTATTCCAGCTTCAGACAGGGATGGAGATGAACCACCTTATCAAGACAAATTTGGAACATTATCTGGCTGTACCAGGGTAAGGTGCTGTTGAACAGTGTATTCTGAATATTCTTTAAACGGTGTATCTCCCAGTGGTACATTAGAAGCTGAGGTTTCATTTATTCAGCCAGAGCATAGACAATTTAAATTCTTTAATAAATTTTTTTGGTTAAAATATCAGATCCAGTTTTTAGGTACAAAAGTAGTGGACTTGGGTATGTGAAAACTGTTAGTGCCGCATAGTGCTAATTAAGCTTATGTGGACTACATTTCATTTTCTTCTTTTTTTGGGCCATTCTCTTGTACTTTGACATTCTTCAGGGATAAAAATCATTGTACTGAATGATTGTCTCACTCTCAGTACCTGTGTTCCCCCCAGTAAACATTTTCTATGTAATACAAAGTACTAATTTAAAATGTTTTTCAGTTTTCTATTTTGAAGTTGCTTTTATGATATATTCCAAAATTGCCTCCATACCTGTCCTAGTGCACTACCACCACAATACAAACATCTTCATTTTTATGATAAAAACCTTTGTAAAAATTTGAAGACATCGATTAATACTAGTTTTTCTTTCAAGTAGACAAGATCACTCATGCCAAATATATACTAATGCTCAAAAGTAGCATATAAGAAAATCTGTCAGAGTTTATCACAATAAAAATATATGTGTTTGATGTGTCATGTAGAGGTGATAAGCAGTAATTTCCCTCAGGATGCAAGAACTAGTATATAAATTATACTGTGCAGTTAAAATATGATTTATTAAATCCAGGCAGTAAAAGAGTGATGTGTTGGCTGCCCTTTGTGCTGTAGACATTCCCAAATACTTAGCTCAGGACTTCATTGTGTACAATCCTTTCCACAGAAATTTGAAACTTGTTTAAAACATTTCTTCAAGTAAAAGATGAACTACCACTTTAGGGTAACTTCACTGATTTGTCTTATTTTTTTGTTCAGTTTAGGAGAGACTGTCCTAAGTAATGGAAAGCACTGTGCATGTAAGGTAAGATTTTCAATTACTTTGCTTAGAAAAGATAATGAATGTAACTGAATGATTTCTCAGAAAAGTGACAGATGTTTTAAAGATGTAGAGTGCCTTATTCAAGATAGAGATGAAAATACAGAAGAATCAGGTATTTTCAGATTCAGAAAACTACATTGAAATCGTAGGACTTCAGGATATTAGAACATTTTTGTGTTAATGTCTTTTATCACAACTCAGTTGTTAGGTCATATTTTTAATCTCATCTGCATGACTCTAAATGAAGAGTAACTATTGTTTTTGGCAGAGTCACAGTTTTTGCCTGAATTGCTGAGTTCACACTTAATCACTTGTTTCATGTTGGCTTTTGTTAAAGATAAATATTGATTAAAAATATTTACTTGAGAGTATTTAATTGAACATCTGGTGAGTAGCTGTGATAATGTCCTGGAACAAGCCATAGTTTCAAGTGATCTATTTATAAATTTCAAGTGATCTGTTTATAACTCTTACATAGTTTTTCCTCCTTTACTTTGTGCTTATTTCAAAATTAAAGAAACATATTCTTTTACTTTTCTACCATTTATTTCCAGGTACAAAATGTAATTATACTAGTAATTCGGAAACCTTTTTTGTAAAATCTCCTTGTTAAGAGTTTTATGTAATTTTTAGTTTCACTTTTTAAAAGCAAAAATCAGGAGAAAAACCTGTTAAGTGCTTTGCCAGGGCAGTGCCAATACCAGGAAGAAAAAAACTGAAGCAGGAAAGAACAACTATGTTGAAGATATATTCAAGTCCAAATAAGTTTTCTTCTTCATTAAAGTCTTGAAATGTCTAAGAATCCTATTTAATTTGAAAATACATCATATGAACATACTGCAAATGGTTTGCTGAGATTATGGAATCAACAAACAAAGACTCTCATGAAAATATGTTGTTTAGTCTTTTGTCAGTGACACATATTTCAGGAATTACTTTTAGCATTTCTTTAAGTGATGACTCAGAGGCACTCCCTTATTTTATGTCACATGACACCATAGAATAAAAACTATTAAACAGGAAAATACTATTTTAAATAACATTAATAGGTGTAACTACTTCTACTAATGCTATTTTTCTTACTATTTGACATAATTGTGTGCCCATGAATACTGTCTCTTTGTTTTTTCCTCTATAAGAACATTTAAAATGCTTTTTTGTAATGCTGAGTTTGTCTTTAAATCTGCTTGGGACTTCTTAAATACATAGGTTAATAACTTATGCAGGTATTTCCCTGATCAGTTTCTGAGTAAATAATTTAGGGATTTTCAAGAGTAAAAGTATTTTGCTAATATCTGGTAAATCCAAAAGCATGCTCCTTTCCAGTGAAAATACTCTGTCAACATTTGAGATGTTTGTTGGGTGTGGTGATTTTTAAAATGTGAGCTTCTGAATTGCAAGATTTTCACATTCTTGCTTCCGGTTCACAGTGCTCACAGGCAGAATACCTCACCAGAAATGTTGGTGGTATTTTTTGGATTTACAGAGGTTATTCTTTAGCCCTGACACTATCTTTTTCTTGTGAGGTATGGCTAAGCAGAAAACATCTAATCGGTTTTGGGCTCAGCTTTGTCAATTATCGCTTGACCAAGCTTTAAAGAAAGAGGTTTTGAAGGAAGATCTGTGGAGCAACCTACTTCATTTTGACAGGAGGAGCTATTTTATATATGCTTTATGATCAATTTATTTCCCCCTACATTTTTTGGTACAACAGGACACAAGGAATGTTGGAGCTGTGGAGGGACCACTCAAGGCAGAAGAGAAAAATAAATCTGCAGACATTTCAAAACAAAAAGAACTATGCCTTGTACCATGTGATGCTCAAGCTAAAATTTTACGAGGGGAAAAACATTACATGTGCAGTATGTACTCATAAAAAATACTTTTAGTGATGAGCTATGCAATGTCATGCTATGCAATCCTCTGCTATGCTACATTATTCTGTACCAATTTATCTTTTAATCTTCTTGAGCACATGTGGCAGCCTTTGACCCTGCTGCCCAAATTCTGAGTATTGTTCAGAAAATTTGGGGTGCCCTTTTTTTGGGATGCAGCTGGTGTGGCAAAGTTAATCATGGGTGAAGACAGACAAATCTAAGCAGCAGCACAGCTCACCTAGGTCTGTGTTACCCCCTGAATGTCAGTATCTATCTCCATTAGGGAGGAAGAGCAGGATGTCTGTCCCTCATTTAAACATCATAGCTAGGTGTGGGGATGTTAAGTGGGAGTTAGCCAGTTAGTTTGTTATTTAGTTAGTTACATGGGAGTAAATCTGTACTTCAGTTTACCTTTTATACATGCATACACAGGGCACTCTCTATCACTACCTTGATAAACTACACAGCAAGTGATATAATCAACCTCAGGAAACAATTATATAAATTCTTGGTTTTCACATATGATTTTTTAGTATTATTAATTATCTGTCCAGATGACGATGATGATGATTTTATTTTTAGCATCAGGGCAAAAAACAGAAGTAGCACAGTGAATGAGCAAATGTAGGATGACAGGAAATGTTATATATCTGTCTTTTATAATTTGCATTTATATTTGTGTGATATCCATTAACTGGCCATCCAATTTGCCCAAGGATAAGATGAAATTCTTCTTCAAAACATAAGAAGAGCCATCACTTCTTAAGATGTCTTTACTGCAATTAACGAGTCTGAAGTTTTTAGCATCTTTGGCTTTAGTCTGTGGTCTCTGTACTACTTTCATTTCACTTTCAGGTGCCATAAGGTAAAACACCTTCACTGTTTGCATAGATATCATAAATAAGTGTGTTGTCATTCGGTCAAGAATAATTCTAGATTTATGATAACAAAGTGGATGAACATATTTCTTTTGAAGGAAATTTGCAGGACTCTCTTGTTGAATATGCAAGAAGCACGCAAAAACTGGTGAGAGACATGATGGATGATCAACAGTCTTCTTTGGACTACCTTTCTAGTCAGGTACTTTTTTCTTTATCATTAACGTTTGTATTTGTTATTTCTCACTGCAGGTGTTGTTTATCTGAGGAAAAATAAGTATTATTATTGTCATTAAACCAGTAGAATTAGAGACCCTATCACCATTCCTTGTACCTTGGGTAGGGTGTGAGTTCCATTTCTACAAGGAGTGATAAGCACCACTTGTTTTACAACTTAGTGTCATACATGGCAGTTGCATAAGTGGAGGACTATTCCTTCCCATTAGTTGCCATCTCCAGTCCTGTTGTATTTGTGCAGATAACATATTACACTATTGTTAGCTCTGATAGTATTTTACAAGCACTTTGCATCACTCAATACAGATAAAAAGCTTTAATCAAACTGAAGGACTTTTTTTTGAATCAACCGGAATTGTGCCTAAAATCGATTTTGGATGAAAAAACTAAAAAAGAAGATTGATTTGCCTAATAAAGGTACAATTTACTAACACATCACAAAAACAAACTTCAGATTATATTTACTAGGAGTAAAAAAAAAAATCTTTAGAATGTAAAATTCCTCATTGCAACCTAATTAAAGATCTTTTATTTAAATTTGCAGGTAAATGAACTCAAGAACAAACTTGTTCTTTTGAATGCAGTAGTTTTGAGAAAGCATCTGGATCCACTTCCTTACAAAGCAGTTCAATCTCATGGTAAATATTTTTCAGATATAGTCTTGACACCTTCCCTTTTTACTTTTGTATCTTGACAAGAAACTAATTAAAGCAAAAGTAAGGAATTGTAACATCGACATTTATCCCATGTTAGTAGTATAAAAACTCTGGAAACTTTATGAACTGTTTAAAAATGTTGTCATAAATACTGCTTTAAATAATTTGTAATTGACAATTCCAGGCATCCTGTTTAGCATGTTGTTGATTTTTGTGCAAAATACCAGGTATGATTATCTGTTAGTAAGTAATCTAATGTTGCTAAAAGACATGTTCTTTTGCAATGAAATAAAGTGTACTCTGCATCTGCAATATCCTTCTTCAAATAGGATGTAAGTCAACTGTTCACTGGACAGTTGATCTTCTTTGTAGTGTCCATCCAAACTAAAGGAAACATTATGTCTAAGCAGCCATGCTGGTTGTGGAAACTGCTTCTTTGAGTATATTTAACATGTACCTGGCTTAACACTTAGAGACAAATGGTTTTTCATGTATACATTATGATGAAAAGGCTTTTACAAGTATAAATACAAGTGTCTGTAGGAAAAAGATACAATTCCCCAGAGAATATGTCTTTTTCTCAGTACAAGTGTTATAAATAAAATATAAAATGTTATGAATAAAATGTAAAAATTTGTAAAATTACCCAGATGCATAATCTTTAATTTCTGTATCATATCTATTAAGATTAGAAAGAACTTTTTCTATGCAGTGTAATTTATACTTACTTATGAGTTTAATGGAGATCAGAGAATTTGAATTTACAAGATAATTTCATGACATGATTTTAAAACTTGCATGAGAAAAAAATGCTATTTTAAATCATTCATACGTTACCAAGAATAGTAATATTTCTGTGCTTGATCTGTATTTTTAAAAAAATACATTTTGCTAATGAATTTCATAAAATACTTTTTTTCTCTAGGTTTGGACTGCACTCATATTAAAGATACCACTGGTTCAGTTTCAAAAACTCCATCTGGTCTGTACATTATCCATCCAGAAGGATCAAATTATCCTTTTGAGGTAATACATTTATCTCTCAGGATAATCCCAATTTGCTTGAGAATATGCACTTAGAATATTTTTATTAGATTTAAGGTGTTTTCCTTGACAATTTCTCAACGGATGAATAAGAAATGTAGTAAATCCTCTGCATGTGTCTGCTGTTACTATAATTTTGACAAGTTTCTCATGTTTTACAAAGTAATTTAATCTCTGTCATAAGAGCCTGTTGTCAGTTTTCATATGCAGTGAAAACTGTACCAAAGAGGAAAACCCAAGGTACTTCCCAGCACCCCTTTTGGACATTTACAAGTGCTGTTCTTTTCTATATTAGAGATGGAAAACTGAAGAGCCAATTGACTGATCCATTTGGCTTCTACAATAGGACTTTTGGCTTTTTGAATTATTCTGCTGTATAGCATTGCCTTCTCTTGTGGTGTGACTCCAATGCCTATAAGCATCTAAATATAGGGGCAGATGTACGTTAGTGTGAGGAGCAGGTGCTTAGCTCTTGTCTGAGTATCATTATAACCCAGTCTTGAGGCAGAGAGGCATCTAAAATTTGAGTTTTCATATCTGTTTTGCAGGATATATATTCTTAAGACAAACTGCAGCAATCGTGCTTCCTATCACCACCTGCACTTTATGTTATTGCTGTGAGTTATGGTGTTCATCTAGAAGAGAATTTTGGGTTAATTTCCTCAGACTCAGGACATTCACATCCATGCAAACACAAGGAATATTTTGTTTTATGTCTTTATTTCTGTTTCAGGCTGTTCTACCTAGAGAAGGCCTTATGTATAGTGGAAAAGCAGATATGGCACTTTCAAACCTTTAACTTTGCAGTACATGCTGGAGTCATTAGCTTTTGAAACAGAAACATGACATTTAGGTGAACTAATAAATAGCAAAGTTTAATATCTAACTTTATAGTCTTCTTTTATATATAGCAAAGGAAGGATGAATCCCTTTACCTCTAGCCAATTGGAGCCCTTCAAAATGCTACAAAAAAGGAGATCAAACTGATTAAGAAAAGGCTTCAGAATTATGCTGGAATATAAAAAAAAAATGGACTGCAACCCCCAATACAAAAACCTGTCATTGTCTCTCTACAATGCAGTCAGCTCAGGAAAACAGTCTGTAACTCATCAGCAAGTTCCTCCCATGTAAAAGAAATGCAGAGACATGTTGCAGTGTTCACGGAACAACCATATTTGTAGTATAAAGAAAATGCTGTCTGCCTCACCCCAAGATGAACCATACCAAAAAGTGCATTTGTTTCAGAATTTCTTTTAGATTGAGGGGGATTCCATTGAGGAAATATTCATACCTTACCCAAATTACTTGTCTCGAGAGATGGTATAATTATGTGAGAAAAGTGATTTCTCAGTTCACTTTTAGGTTTTGACAAATAAATCTGAAATGCTAAAATTTCTTTTCATTCAAAATATTTTTGCCACTTTTCCACATTTAAAGGTACTTCCAGAATTTGAAAATCAGTTATATGAGTGGAAAGGTTCTTTAAGGAGTACAAGAAACAAACAAAAAAAAATCATAATAATTTGATTAAAAGAAAAAGGTAAAAATAAATAATGAGAAGAATATCTGCAGTCATGAAATGAGTGTCTCATTTCTTGTCTGGTAGATGTTGCACAGAACTTAAAAGACAGGGCCAAAAAGTTGTCAGAGGAAAAGTATGTAAAATATGTGTTCTATAAAGAATGTTATTTTAAGGAAAACTATTTTATGCAAATTCTTTCATGTGTGGAAGCATAAAAAAGGTAGAGGAAATGATAAATGAACAAAAATATCAAGACATTAAAACATTAAAACATAAACAAGAAATTATAATGCATTTTTTAGAGGCTAATAGCCAAGAACTCTGATATAAACAATTTATTTCAATGAGGACCTTTTCAGCAATAAGCTGCCCTTTTAATGTAACGGAAACTAAATGAAAATGTGTTTAGAATCATTTGCATGAAGATACCAGTTTAATGAAGAAGACAAATATTAAACAACTTGATCCTATTCTCATGTTTTCATGTTTAAAACCTCATATTGTCAAAAGTGAGCATAGTTTTTGATGCTTATCTTGGGCTAATTGAAACCTGAATTCCAGGAGCAATAAAAATATCCAGTTTCAGTGGTATTGGCAGGTTTTTGACATCTCAGAAAGTTAATTCCAAATGGGCTTTTGTCTGAGCATTTAAACATGAGGCAATTAAAACCAATTTCACTTTTGGAAAAATTAATCATGATCAATTTCTGATACATTTTTCAATTAGTGAAATTAGATCAATGATATTTGTAAGGTGGATCAGACAAACTAAACAGTTGTTTGGAATATACCTCTTATGCACACTGAAGATGGAAAGAGGAGAAATATTCAATGGAAGCATTCTCCTGCTCATTTAATTTAATTTGCACCTGGCACAATCATGCCCCTCATACCTTGCATGATATGAGACACAGAGCAAACTGTAAAGTCTTATAAGGCTTTTCAATTGCAACATTTCTAGCCTATAAGGAATTAAGAAACTACACAGCTATGACTGTATTTCTCTCTCTCTCTCTCTCTCTCTCTCTTTATCTATCTATCTATAATCTATCTCATATTTTACTTAGCTGCTGTTTGTATTGGTGTTGTATTTAATTGGCTGATGACCTCTCATGTAGAACCAAATCTGCTCCTTCTGAGAATTATCAACACTCCCACTGAGTTATATTGGACTGAAGATTGCTGTTGTGATCAAGTGGGCTCCTCTTAGTATTTCTGACTCATAGTCAGAGGAGTAGCCAAGCATGCAATCATCTTCTCAAGACAACAGATGAGGCAATGGGATTATTTTGAATGACTTTTAGGTGTTCGCATTTAAATATTCATTTTGGAATCTTCTGTATTTCTTTTTATTCCTGTTCCACTCTCCCTGGGTGACTGAAATAAGTATGTGATTCTCCAGGGAATAAAGCACACAAGTTTCTTTCGTGTACATGACCCTTACTATGATTCATTTAGTATTTGTGTTGAAAGGATTGCCCAAAGCATCCAATGGCATTGGCTTACTTGAAGATCTAAGATTCCCCAGGTTGTATTAGACCATATTGCAGCTCTGTCCTGTTGCTTTCTTGGTGTTCATTGAGAGGCTCTGAATATGATGTTGATGCGTTACTGCCAAGGAACAATTCTGGTTTCGTGAAAAATATCTGGCTAGTACAGGCACATATAACACTCAGACTGCCACAAATTTTGCTGAGGGTTAAACTGAATTACACCTAGATTCTACTTTTATCATCTGGCTAAGACTGCAAATCTCTCTTTTCTGAAATATGTTTCATTATGTACTTTCCCTGAAACATCAACAAAAATTTCTTTACTCCATCACTTGTGCATCTGCTTAATGTTATGACAACCAACGTTATATTCTGAACTTACTTTTGTTATCACAAGTAGCTCCATAGCTATAAGCATTTTCCAGGTTAATTCTCCTGATATTAATCACATTAGGAGGCACTTACCAATGAACCTCTGTTTTTAAACACTCATTATGTATAGTATCCCTAGAATTACTTTGAACAATTTAGGTTGTGTAGTGTCTAAAAGAGTGAGAAACAAAACAGTCTTAAAATCACCTTTCCCCCCCCCATTCCTTTCATGTATTCCCTCCTCCTCCTCAGTGGTGCAGAGGGGTGGAGAATGGAGTTTACAGTCAGTAGTTGTTTCTGTCACTGCTCAGAGAGAGGAGTCCTTCCCCTGCTCCCGTGGGGTCCCTCCCACTGGAGACAGTCCTTGATGGACCTCTCTGTTGTGAGTCCATCCCTCAGGCAGCAGTTCCTCCCAAACTGCTGTCCCGTGGGTCACTCCTCCGTGGGGTGCAGTCCTTCACGAATGAGCTGTACCCACATGGGTCCCCCACAGGGGCCACAAATCCTACCTGGGAAAAACCTGCTCCAGTGTGGGCTGCCCTCTCCACGGGCTGCAGATCTCTGCCAGGACCCTGCTCCATCTTGGGCTCACCTTTATTTAATTAAAATATTTTCTTCATAACAGCTCCTTCAAGAATGCTTGAAGTCTGAATCTGAATTCTGAAGTCACATCTATGTCTATTTTTAGGTTTTTTGTGACATGGATTTTCGAGGAGGTGGATGGACTGTGGTTCAGAAAAGAACTGATGGAATCATTTCATTCCAGAGAACATGGTCTGAATATCTGGATGGATTTGGTGATCTTACTGGTATTAATTTTAAATACTCTCAAGTGCTTCGTATCCTACATTTCTGCTGCCTCTATGTGAGCAACATTCCACTAAATTGTGTAGGAGTTTCAGTAGTATAAAGTTCTTGTTTATTAAGTCTTATTTTTACATAAGTATTTTTTTTTCAAATCTGTTGTATGATCTTCTCAGTAATGACTGTGACCCCGCTAGAGTCTTTAGCCATTGCTGTCTCACAGGAGGTGTTTAAAATATGATATTTTCTGCCTGAAATAATGTATAGATTGTATTTGCTCTCTTTTCAGATTAAAAAAAATAGCCTATTCAAACCAAATAGTTGTTTTGAATCACATTTGCAAAATATTTCCTTAAAGGAGAGAAAAATCAGTAATATTTCACCATAGGACAATCAAAGTTAGAAACAGAATGGAAATATTTCAATAGCTAATAACAACACAATTGTGATAATAATTTTTTATTTCCACCTTTCATCCAGCAAGTCTAAAGCCATTTGCTTTATCAGAAGTTTATCTGGGATTGCAATGGAAGCACACAGCTTTTCTGTACAAAAAAGCACAGCTCATATGGGGCAACAAGTGCGATTTACGGAGGCAGCAAATCCCGAGAATAGGGTTTGTGTTTTGTTGTGTTTCATAGAATGCTAACATTCATCATTTCTCAGTACTCCCCTTAGGAATGCTGAACTCCGTTTTTGCAAGTGGATCTTTAGCACATCCATTTTTTTTGTGGTTTTCTAAGATATATTGCAGACAAATGTTTGAAATCTATCATGTGGACAATTTTCTAAAAAGTATCATAGAGAAAAAAGATGATGCCCATATCGAATTCTTTCCATGGATTTCCTAAGGAAGTAGGAAAATTACTCTGTTCCTTCATTTAGTCTTTTAAAGGAATATAAACCTATCATACAACTTTTATTACATTTGATTCAGGAAGAAAACTAGAAAAGAAAGAACAATATTTTTTTCTTTTACAGTTTCCATTTCTAGACTATATATTATATTTCTGTTTAAGGGGAATTTTGGCTTGGACTAAGGAAGATTTTTGACATAGTAAATCAAAAAGCCACTAGTTTCAATCTTTATGTGGACTTGGAATCAGAAAATGACAAGCATGCCTATGCATCATATGATGGATTCTGGATAGAAGATGAAGCATGTTTTTTTAAGATCCATTTGGGGCATTATTCAGGAAATGCTGGTAAGAACTTCCTTTTTTAAAGTATTTAAAAGTAGCTGGTCCCTTTCTTAATATGAAAAAATGCATTCAAAAGAGTAATAATTAAGATAACTTTAAAAAAAATTATTTATAATGTGTTTTTCTCTGGCGCATAGTGAACATTTATGCAGATAAATGGTGATGATATAGCAATTTTGGTTATGCCAACATTAATCTTTACATAGTAGGAAATCACTTTATCACTTCAGTGTCCTTAATGGAGTAACTGAATAAACCCTTCTTTAATAAAGATGAATTAAGGAAGGATCTTTAACAGATTCAAGTCCATAGGATATATATAATAAATAAGGGATTTTTAGGTGTTAGTGTTTATCTATCTAATGGTACAGTTCTTTATATGTCTATTATCTCATCTCAGATTTGCTGATGTTAGTGGAAGTCTTCCTGATGATGCTTTGGTTAATTCAGAAGTGCCCAGACAGTCATGCACAAAGGGTAGAGAAAGAAGCTGAGTGAACAAAGTTGGTCTACAGTGTGTAACAGTTACTGGGAGCTACATAGACACAAATTAATTTACAATTTCAGACCTCTCTTAATAGCTAAGTGTGCAAAGGTTTTCATTAAATATTGCATGTCTTACTGCTTTTTTCTCTTTTTTTTTTCATATGTTTAGTAATATGCAAGAATGTTCTTTATTACCAATGAAATAGCTATTCTCTATAGGTGTTGGTGCTTTACTCTACCTGTATTTGTAAGATAGTGTATTTGTATTTCTTTAGTAAGACAACAGAGCCAATAATCACTGACCTTTGAGTTTTAAAATTCCATCTTTTCTCATTAGTCTCTCTGGGACTTTGGACGCATTACTGGAAAATCTTAAATTACAACCCTTTTTGTTTCCTTTATCTTTTCTTCCTCTGTCTTTGAGGACAGAAGCCTTTACCTTCCTAGCCAGTATGCACTGCTAAAAGCAACAACAATATAAAGATGTTGTTTCATTGAATTTCAACTTCTTCCATATTTCTCAGTATTTTATTCTTTTTCTTTCCTTCATTTTTAACACTTTGCCTACTCATTATCTGGTGCTCTTGAAATGTTTTTGAAGAATTCTATTTTTCTAATAAATTCAGAGGAAAAGTTTGTGAGATATGCAACAAGTAAGAAATGTTCTTCCATAAATAATTTTTTTATCCTTCTGTTCTATCTGTTGTGCTTAGGTGATGCATTTAGAGGATATAGAAAAGAAGATAACCAGAATTCAATGCCTTTCAGCACTTTTGATGTTGATAATGATGGATGCAGACCAGTATGCACTATTAAAGAACAGCTTGTAAAGAGCTGCAGTAACTTCAGTGATAGCACTGGATGGTGGTTCAGCAAGTGTGGCCTTGCAAATCTTAATGGTGTTCATCGCTACACAGGTAGATTTCTTGCAACTGGGATTCACTGGGATACCTGGAAAATGAAGAATAAACCAGTCAAAATTAAGTCAGTTTCAATGAAAATTCGGAGAACCTATTATCCATATTTCCATTAGAAATATATCTCTTCTGGCAATTATGTGGAATAATGTATCATTGCAATCATAAATACCTTTCATTTTCACTTGAAGAGTTCAGTCGAAACTTTATTAGGTATTTCTACAATACAGTTACTAATTTTTATTGGGAAATGTCAGCATTTGTAGTGTTCCTGCTTGAGTAAGAAGGTCCTAAAAAGAACTGGGTTTTCAGAAAAAGGATTAAGCTTAGTTCTTGTCAGCTTTTATTCAACTTTTAATTTTATTTACTCTTAGGCAATCTCAGAAACAGCAGAAAAAAATTATAAAAAGAAGTGTAATGATGACCTCTGAATGTACTTTTTCTGTGCTCTCTGCATATCTGAATTTCTAAGAAATTGCAGCAAATTTTCTTTTAAAAACCTATGAACCTACCATTTCCATCATAATATTTTGGAAAAATATCTTTTCTGCACCTTAGGTTAATTTTTCAGAATCAACTCTCCTTTTTAGATTCTTTATCAGGCAAGTTAAAAATTGTTGCAATGTATATATAGAGTTCAGTATACTCTTTATACAAGTAAGGTTGAAACTGAGATTCAAGAACTATGGTCTATTTTGTATTTAATTTGCACAGTCAATGTGTTTCATAATACAATTTTTACTCTACCATTGTCTATTTTACAGTTCACTACGAATTAAAAACTTTTTAAAGAAAATGCATAGCTTTGGAATTTTAATTTTTGGATGTATGGGCCTGATCTTATGTTTTTCATTCTGATTGTCATTCACTTTGTGAATGATCATATGGTAATGAACAAAACCAATTTAAATTGTATAAGTTCGTTATTAATTCTTTGAATTTCTGTCAGTAAAAATAAAATAGTATCAATAAAAATGTGACTATTGTCAGTACAACAGTGTTTCTGGAACCTGGCATCTAATCTGCAGCAACTAGGCATGGTATTTCTCATCTCTGCTTCAGTTTATGTAGATCAGCTCTGTAGTAGCACGTGGAATGAAAACAGTTAAAAACTCTGTGAGTTTCCCCTTTGCTATTTTTTATTTAGGCCAAACATTAATACAGTGAGCAGAAACCATCATCAGTTCAGAACCTCAGTGGTTTAGAACTTCTTCCCAAAGATTTACGTAGTTATAGGAGGAAATGAAGCTTTTCATAGGGTATGTTACAAGCTTAAGAGAGAGAAAACATTCATCTTTTATTCTATGCTTCAGTACTAGTCTTTAACAATCGAATGTAAAAAGTTGTTAAAAGCAGAAGGCTTCTCTCTGCTAGAGAGGAATTGGGGACTATCCTTATTGGGGGAGAGGGGCTGCAAGAGAAACAGGGTAGGAAGTAGCTTGAAGAAAAATATCACAGGCCCTGTAGAGGGATTATGAGAAAGGAGATATGTCCTGCTCTTGGGGGAGACTGAATTTTCTGAGCATGGGGTGATTTTGTTGTCAGACACTTTAGTCTTTGAAATTAGAGGTGAAGAGATTGTATGTAAACCCTGTTTAGCCCTCCCTCTCACTCCATATTTATTAGGAATGCAATCTTTTTGAATGGCAACATGGACCCAGCAGACCTATAAAGGTAGATATTACAATGAAAGAGCTTCTGCACCAAGATTAACAGGCATTAGAGCTTAAAAAGAGTATTAATCCTGGCTGCAAGCCTGGATGGTGTCATGCTATTAGGGCTCTTATGTCAGAAAGAGTCCTCAGGCTGCAGTACAACAATCCTACTGGAGAATGCCACTGGCTAAATTTCATGAAAATTTAATGGCTTTAATGAAAGCCTCAAATTTTGATGGTGGGGCCCCTGTTCTGACAACCGGGTCCGAGCCTGCAAGGAGAAAGGAAGAGTCTAAGTAGGGATTCTGGATGCATAGAGCTATATTCTACTGACACCCTGAGGCTGCTTGTGGCTTAATTAGAACCCCTGATTAAAAATGTAGGTGACAAGTGAAGATTGCAGATGTGTGCTGGCAGATACTACCACGATTAATTATCAGGTTTAATCTCCCCTTTGCCATCATTGGTTAGATTAGCTGGCAGCAAGTAATCACAGTGGAGATGGGCCTGGAAAAATAACTAAATCTTGAAGGATCATCTTGCAAATAGGCATGGCATCTTTAAGTCAAGTCAAATTGAAAACCTATACAAAAAATGAATTGAATTCACAATGTCAGTGGTGGGGCGAGGTTTTGAATTTTACTGTTCCTTGAAAGATAAAAACGTTTCCAAGACTATTTGCAGACACTTGCTTTAAACTCAATACATATGCTTTAATACCATTAGGTACTGCTCTACTAGCAAGGTTGCAGGTAGACACTATGTTCTCTGTGGCTTAGAGTTCTCTCCCTTTGTATATAAAATGAATTTATTTTGCCCCAGGCTTGACTTGTATCTTTGTTGTGCTGTGAGAGCTGGATCTGCAGCATTAACTGCAAACAGGGTGAAGTCCAAATTGCAAATACTAGTCAGGTTTTAACTCCTAGAAATCTTCCAGGTATGAGTTTTCAATGTAATATTCTCAATCAAAAGATGGATAATGCTTTAATTCTTTTTTATCTACTAGTCATGATCACACTAAATGCTTCTTGGCACCAAACCAAGTAATTAGATAATAATATAATTTAATATAGTTTAATGATTTTATTTCCTTTCATGGAGGTTTCTATGAAAAGCTGTTGAGCATAGGAATCTCTTAGTTTTATTATCATTTGGATGTTCTGAAATGTGAGTGTTGGTTTAGTCTAGTTTTGTTTTAAAATTTAGCATGTGCTTAGAAAATCAGAGTGCTAGAGATTAGTTGGCAGCTTGCCTATTCAAATCTGAAATACAGCAATGACAAGAGAACATTTCCCATGTGATAGATGGCTACTGTCTTCAAAGGTTCATTCCATTTCCACTAAAACAACTGTGAAAACAAATTTTTACTTAAACACAGAGAATTTACAAGAATATTAAACTGTTTCAGAGGCCTATGTTCCATATTTACAGCTGATGATTCCCAACTACCACACATAAGATTTTTGTGGCCATATACTTACAACCAGTAATCAGTTGGTCATTGCCCAAACAGTCTTATTTCGACTATAATATAAAGGAACATGTAGGGTGTACCATATTAAGAGAAACTGATTGAGTGTTTCAAATAAAGAGTATCTTGGTTTAAATGCTTTTAATATCTACTCCAGGAATGATACTCTAAACTATGAGAAGTTGTATTTACAGGACATGCAATCTCTGATGTTATGAAACTGCATTTCTTTTGTTTTCTTTTCCCCATAGTATATCTTTAATTTGTAAGTCTCAGTTTGATGAACTCAAATTATTTAATCATTTGACCGTTCTGGTCACAAGAAACCCTTCTGGGGACTTTAGTTTTGTTTTGCACCGCTCCCCCTGGAGCATGCCCTGCATTGTCCTGTTGTCAACCCAAAAGCCAGCAGAGACAATCCATTGGCATGGAAGGGGTGCTTTGTGGGATTTCTGTTGGCATGGCTGCAAAGAGAAAGTAAGTTATTTACAAAAGGGGTACTGGAAACCTGCATACATATTTCCAGGCTAGGTATTGATCTGCCAGTTGTTTTAATCCATAAAGACAGGCTGCACCTCATTTTGCAGCTCATTGTAAAATGAGTTAAAATTGAGGAAAAGAAGGCATCCTTGGCTTTCAGCGGACACAGGTTTTGCTGACGTGGTCTATATCCATCGACCAGAAGTTAAGTTGTTACTGTACAACATGCTCTAATGAATACTTCTTATACCAAACAATGCAAATGACACTGTATTCTGCAGGACTGTCCAAAGATACAATTCACATGAACAAAGGAATGGTCCTTTCATTACAGAAAGCTTTTTTGCTCCATCATTTCAAATTTTCAATTTCTCTGTGTGTGTGTGCGTGTGTGTGCGTGTAAAAATCACACACGTGCAGACAAACCTATGTACTAATGTACATTTCTAATGCAACTTTCAGTGAGACAGAAGGCTGCTAAGACCAGTATCAAAGACGCTCCCAATCATTTATTTTCCACGTGTTTTCCTCCATTGCCTCAGCTTTTCCCCAGCCTTGTCTGGTCTGACAGTTTTGGGTTTTGTGGTTGCAGTGGCTGTCCTTGGCAGGGGGCTCGCAGGCAAGGCTGCCTAACAAAGACAAGCTCTCAGAAGCAAATATCAGGCTCAGCTTTGAGTCCAGAAAAGCTCCGTTATAACAACCATTCAAAACTGACACGGTTGTTTCAGGTACACCCCTTTTGCCCCCTGCCCAGGGCCCGAATCCCGGGTGCTCCCAGACCCCAGCAGGGCCGGGCCTGCGCTCAGGGCCGGGGTGCCTCGCGGGGACAGCCGCCAGGGGGCGCCAAAGCGCCGGGCGCGGCGCGCGCTCGGCCCTGTCGGCGCCGCTGTGCCCCGCCTGGGGCGGCCCCTGCGCTTCCCGTCCTCCGTGAGATCCTGCCTCCCGCTTTCTCTCTCCTTTCCCCTGCCCGGCTTTCTCTTTTTCTGCTTCCTTCTCCTGAGTGTATTTTGCCTACAGTCTCCTCCAGCTGCGATGTCACGTGTTCCCTCCCTGCATTGCTCAGCCCAGGACGCACGGGATGGCAGGAGGCACAGCATGTCCTGGGCTCCCCTCGCAGCCCAGAACTGCGGTCACTGCTGTTTGCTTTCCATGCGAAAACCCTCAGAGCATGCACTACCTGTCAGGACTTCCGTGTGCTGTGGTTTTCACACATCTTTTTTTTTTTTTAATGTTTTTGTACTATACTTTGTGGGGAATTTTCTATTTATCACTGGGGAAGAGGGGCTCATGGCAATGAATCTTTGCACATAAAACGTTTGCTAAAGACAGTAAAAGTTTGTATGTATTCCAAAAAGACTTGGATGGATTCATGGGAGATGAATGTATAGAACCATAGAATCATTAAGATTGGGAAAAAACCTCCAAGATCGTTGAGTCCAGCCATTAACCCAACATTCTAAGGTCCACCACTAAACACATGTCCCTAAGCATCACACCTACACATTTTTTTTAACACTTCCAGAGACGGTGATTCCACCATTTCCCTGAGCAGCCTGTTCCATTGCTTGACCACCCTTTCAGTGAAGAAATTTTTCTTAATATCCAATCTAAACCTTCCCCTGTGCTATTATGTTCACAGACATCGACACTAGAATAAGAGATGCCTGCACCAGAGGTTTCTGAAGGCTGTCTTGTTTTGCCTTGATAGCTTCCATAGGCATCTACTATAGGCTCCCACCAGGTGTGAGGCTTGCTTAGATGGACCTTTGGATGAAGATTGTGTAATGGGAATGTGTAGGGTGGGTAATCTCTTTCTGTAAGTGCGCAGAAGTTGCGTTTATATAGATAGATGTGAGAAGGACTTCCTAGTTAAGGTGGGATGGATAAGCTTTGGCTGTGGCTTAACATCACTGTGCTTAGCTCCCCTTCTGCTTGGGTACCTACCAGACCGTTAATT